TATTTATAATAAAATGGAAAACTTTGACGATTCTAATTTGTAGATATTAGAAAGAATATGCTTCACCGAAACGTACTTTCGTAATCAGAATGACATAAAGGAGCATTTTCATCGTACGATAATTCCCCACATCAAGCGACATTCATTCATTTTCAAATTGAAATGAAAACCAATCAGAATTTATGTGATAATCAGTAACATAATTGATAAATGTACATTAGATGAAAATCTTTCATTAAACCTCCTATTAATCAGAATTCCAACAAACTAAAAATAAGTAGATATGTTTAATATAACCGATTGACTGTATCCATGTCTGTTTCATAATAACATTTTCATAAGTTGGTAACAAGTATTTTGTAATCTTGCCAAGCACATAGTGTACGGCGTTGATTTAATCGTTTAGGTGAATAAGTTGGTGTCAGAAGTAACTTATAGATAGTTTTTCTGTTTACGTTATCGAATAACAACTGGGAGTTAAGGAATAAACATGAGTGATGATGATCGAGATATTGATATAGAAAGTGATGTAAGTATTAAATGCGTGTATTGGTAGTTGATATAAATAATATATCCATTTTATAAACAGGAAGGAGATGACTCTGACTCTAGGCAGAGACATTCCAATAATACACAGTATTATTCCCAAGTAAGTTAATTTACATGGATTTCTAATAACGTATAGAATTTATTTTTAACGTTATAAGATATATCCGTACGTATGTACGTGTGTATAATAAGTATATATACAGGGAGAGAGTCACGAGAAGCAGAACACGTGAATATCTTCTTTGTTTACAATTGTGTGAAATAAACCTTAATAACCTTAAATCAAAAGTTGCATTATCGCACGGGGAAATATAATGATTGAAAGATTTTTTCTTAAGATCATTTTTTTTATCCAATTTCAAGGTTATCGATGGTTTTTCAAATGAAACTATACATTTTGTTTACAATATTTTTGCAGAGCATAAGAAAACGAATTTAATAACCTTAATGACTATGTTATTTCGATTTTTTTATTCTCAATTTATTCAGATTATCTTGAGCACTTGTAATCTATTTAATTAGTTAAAATTTCTTAATAATAGTAGTGTTTACATTTGAGTGTGTAACCTAATATATTTTATTTTTTTTTAAATGTATATAATATCTTGAGAATAAATTATCCCTGTGTATTAATGTATATTATTATTGTTATTATTATTATTATTATTATTATTATTATTATTATTATTATTATTATTGTTAGTGGATATTAAAATATTATGGTTTGTTATTATACTTTTATTAATTATATATTAAGGTTATGTATTATACTTTCATGCATAGGCTGAAAAACGTGCACACCATAATGCATTAGAGCGTAAGAGAAGAGATCATATCAAGGATAGTTTTTCAAGCCTTAGGGATTCTGTTCCTGCTTTACAAGGTGAAAAAGTTGCAAGCAGAGCGCAAATACTTAAAAAAGCAGCCGAATACATACAATTCATGCGACGTAAAAATTCTTCGCATCAACAGGACATCGATGATTTGAAAAGGCAAAACAGTCTATTGGAAACTCAAAGTAAGATTTCTGTCATGTCAAATAATGAATGTCCGAGAGAGAGTATATTATTATATATTATATATAGTATTATAGTATTCAGGTAACTTTTCTACAACACAGTATCCTATGACATGGTTTTGCTATAATATGATTCATAAATTACGAAAACCTTTGTACAATACTTTGTACTTTTATAGTATTAGATAACTTGATTTTGTTTAATATATTTAAAAATAAAATTACTTTAAAATAATGATGTGAAGTAATAATGAACTCTGAGTATTATATGACACGGTTTCACACAGCGTGCCATTTTCTAGGAACTTATCTATCGTGTTATAAGAGGGTTACCTGTATTAACATTTGATTTAAAAAAAAAAAGAAAAGAAAGTATAAGTTAATCTAATAATTAGGAATTGCTCTAAAGCAAATCATTTACAATGTAATTATGTTTATTTTCTTTTTTATGTATAATCAGTAAGAACGCTAGAGAAAGCCAAAATAACTGGAAACTTTGCTGCAGAAACATGTGAGGTATCTAAATCTGATTCGATAGGAATGAATAATTACAATGATTCTGAATCTGAATCTTCGGACAGTGAAACAGGACGAGCCATCCGTCAACCGAAGAAATTAAAAGTTTCCGGTATTCATCATTGACGAAAGCGGAAGAAAGTGTATAAGAATTGATTATTCTAGAACTTCTTTTTTGATATAATGCAATCATCTTATTACAAGAAAAAATATTTTATGTAAAATTATAAACTTCAAATACCTATTAACACTTTACCGACCAATAGTCTATTAATCAGCTTTTTGTCACCAACACTTATCGACCTATAATTGTGTGGAATAATCTGCATGGCATGCAGAATCTGTGGCTGGTTGGTTAGCGCTGTTGAACCACTAGCGGTCGGTAAAGTGTTAAAAAAAGTGAACAGATTTAATTTATACAATAGTATTTTATTTCCATGTAACATAGTCAATAAATATTTATCCTTAATAAATTGTAATAAAATGTAATAAAATATATTAAGGAGAAAGGATGTTATAAAGATAGCGTGTTACTTTGCACGGACCAATATATTTAAAAAAAAATATATGTATGTATCTATAGAAATAATACACAAATTAGATAGAAATATAATAAGGAAAAAAATTTTAAATATATGTATCTCATTATATTTCTTGTTTTATATTAAAGTGATGTTATAATAAATAATTTTTTAAAATATTTCATCTGGTATTAAAGTATACAAAAATATAAGATTACAAGTTAATTTAATAAAATTAATCAACACACATTTTAAATAATATTTCTACTTTCTAAGGCGTTATGAACTTTATGTACAACAGACAAATATATGGAATTTATGTAAACAATTATATTATTAGTTTACTTATTTTCCCCCATTATTCTTCGTCGCATCATTGTTATTGCATATCATCACTCTAAAATCTTTTATTACGTAATTGCCATAACATTATTTGATTCTCGCCTATCCCGTGCACGGCGATTTTGAAACCAGATCTTTACCTGTAAATTTATAATAAAATGAAATCATTTGAAAAAACAATTAACTTTTTATTTTATACGTAGATTAACTGAAACCTTAAAAAAATGTATAAATCATATAAATCTATATTTACAAAGCAAACGAAAATAGTAAACTAATATGGAAATTTATTGTTTGTTCTAAAGAAACATACGTACACTACAACGAGAAAAGATTTTTGGCGTAATACCAAAACATTTGGTAATTCACGAGAACGTGTATAAGTACATATTTTTAACTTGCAATAATCCAATTGTAATGATTCGTTTCTTTTATATCTCGAGATTCTGTTGCACGTAACAAAAATAAGATAAATAGTATTAAATTAAAGAAAATATAAAAAACCAAAATCTGATGACTTTCCGGTCTTCTTTTTTAATTCGTAATCACAAATAACGATTCGTTTTTTTAATATCATTAAATTTTGTTGCGTGAAAGATATCCATGAATTAAATATGAAACTAATAAATGAATAAAAAAAATAAGCAGATTGAATAACTTACTCTACTTTCAGGAAGTCTCAATTCAGTTGATATATCATACGCGTCTTCCCTTGACAAATAAGCATTTTCTTTATACTTTTCTTCAAGAACTCGAAGCTGAAACGAAGAGAACGGTATGCGTGGATGAATTCCGGGTCGTCTTTTAGTATTTTTACCAATGAAGCTTCTTCTAGGTAATTTAGGTGGTTTATATCTCGTGTATTGTAGCCAAGTTAATTCGTTTCTTTGATTTTTCTCATAAGATGCTGTGACTTCGTTTCTTCTAACGTCATCTTCGTATTTTGTGTTGATCGAACGCGACTGCGCAATAGATCCCTGTATTACGTTAGATCCATCATTATCGTCATCTTCTTCTTCGTTAATCTTCCTGGTGAGTTGATCGATCGATCTTAAATCAAAATCACGACTATTAACAAGATTGGTCACTTTTTTAATATCATCGTCATTTTCTCGTCGAAATTTCATGCTTTGATCATGTAATTGATTAACAACAGTATCAACACAATTATTTAAATCTTTAGATGTTACTATATCCTTAGATACGCCATGGTCGTTAGCCAAAATTCGTGCTATACTAAAGTCACTCCTTTCGGAACGTGATTTTGGCAACGATGAGTTCATCGCGAATGATGAGAGAGAAATAGAGTATTGGATGGTGCAAAGGAAATAAATCGTAGGGCTTGGCCCTTCGTTCCTTTATATATACTACATCTGAGTAGTATTTAGATACCCCACCTTTTATTTTCGCTAAGGTATATCCATTTTGTAGTAAATCCAAATTAGACAAGCATAGTTGCACAACAACCATTGATGGCTATCGCTTTCCTCGTATAGGAAACTCTTGTGCATGGGTTTTGTCGATGATGACGATGATGATGATGATGATGATGATGATGATAGTAGTAATAGTGGTAGTGGTGGTTGTAGTTGCATGGTAGTGGTTTAACGCAGTACCTGCCCTTCTTTTGTGTGCATGCTCTTATAACAGTGCATTATCTTGCGACCACATCTTTCGAACAGCCAACGGTAATAACAATGTAATTGATACTCCCGGTATACATCACTCAATAACAAAAAAAATTGTGGATGGGATAGAAGGGGGGTAGAAGAAATCTTTCGGCAAGCGTGTAATGCTTGCTTTTCTATAGGGTAGCAGATGTTTCGATCTATTCGAGCTTAAATAATTAAAAAGCCACGGGGGTCAACTAATCCGGTAATAGATCCATCTCTTCGATGTAAATATTGAACCTCTTCTTTGAACTTCTCTGCTTCTCAATCTTCGTCAACTAAACTATATACATAAATGTCATGCATTAAATCAAATGAAATCGATTTGTTTCCATTTTCTATATTCTTCTGAACACCTTATTTTTCCTTCTTCTTTACATACGTAGCGTCGATGATATATGAAACAGGAAAAAAAGAAATTCGATTTCATGTATTTAAATTTTTCCCAATAAGATTATAACAAGTGTAAAGATAAAAAACTTACGCATTGCAAATATAATAATTAATAAGTTTAAACGTTTTTTTTTATATAAACGTTTCATTGAAAATGAAAATAAAAAATAAGAAAAGCATGGATAATAAGAAGATGTTTCGTTTAAAACCTGCACAATAGAATTAACTTTGAGTTAGTCGAGTTAATCGATTTTGATTATGCGGATCAAATAATCAATCAAATCGATAGATTATATTTTAAATAGTTGAACTTTGAAATACATTCAAATTTCCTTTTTTTCGTACACTGTTGCAATGTCGTAAAAATGTAGTCAAAGAATAATACCGCTTAATACTACGAACCCTTTTCGCTTATATTATCGTAAGCTAATCATCTTTAGCTTACGCAATATGAGAACGCATGCATGAATACATTTACATTTTTAATATCCACACATAAGTATACATTGTATATAATTTACGTCGGATCATTAAGATGTTTCGAAGTCAGAAAGAAAAGGAGAGAATAAGAGAGATATATGAAAAATCCTTGAGTCATAATTTTATGCGACTCATGCAAAGATAGTGTTTAAGAATACGCGCGTTGATTTGAAATTTAAAGAGGTGATAAGAGAGGCCGAAAGGGTAGACGATTGAAATAGATATTTGTCTATAAATCTAATTGATATATGAGGTCAATGATAAGTAATCTTAAATAAAAGAAAAGAAAAGAGAAAAATATAACATATACGAAAGAAAAGTATTATCTAATATACATAAGTGGGTTAAAAAGTTATGAGTCTAACATAAAAATAATTTTTGTCGGATCAAAATTACTTATATTTTTAAGCATAATTTTGAAATTTTCCAACCAACTCTCGTATAACGAATTTTAAATAAATCGATTTCTTACTTACTTACTCTCTTATAATCTCTCTTATAATCGATTATCTTGATCGATAATAAATAAATTAAAGTAGACCACTACTTAACCAAAAGAAGTCAATTACGTCGAAGATTATGTTAACGCAATTTAATTGTTAGATTACTTCGTTAAAAGATTATCATATGTAATTTGGAATTTTAGTGCGTACTATATATGTATATATGTACTAGGTTGTTTCTTGTTTTTTTTTTTTTACTAACAAAGTTTTATACACACAATTTATTTGTTTATTTTATATTATTTTACTAAATATATACCATCTATTCTGTTCTATCATCTTTCTCTATAAAAGCTATAAAATTGATAGTTTTTAAATGTAATTACATACTATATTACATTATTAAAAAAATTTACTTTTACAACAGAGTAAAAAGATATTCTTATTTACTAATATACATGATTATTTTTAAAAGATAGTACCATACAAACAAAACTTCTAATCTGTAAATATGACTTTTGGGATTTCCCTTACAAAAAGAAAGATATGTAATATACTATCTATATTTACATACATACTTATATAAAATGATATCACATGAAATTAATTTATTCGACAATTAAAAGAATTCATTAATCATTTGTATAAATATGTACACATCATGCATTTATCCATCCATAGATAAGGTATGAAAGAATAAAAATAAAAGTGATTAAAATATCGTAATTTACAGTCACGGGGTGACTTATCTCATTGTTACATTATTGTTTGTCGTCATCGAATTACGCATGCGCACGCGCCCGCGGTGGCGGGACAGGAAAATTATTATTTCATCCATATCGTGTGTCGTCAGCTGGTTTAGTTCGTAACGGATCGGACTTCCGGGCGAGAAAGCGAACGATTAAACGAGTGAGAGAAAGAAGAAGGGAGAAAGAGAGAGAGGGAGAAGTTAGCGTCGTGTGTCTGCTTCGATCCCACAAAATCATTTCGTTTGAGTTCTTCGACAAATCTTCGAGGAATCTTTAGACTGGACGAATATGTCTTCTTGTACGAGGATGCAACAACATTCCGTCCAACAGACTAACGGTGATGGTAATCTGGGCTCACCAAGAAAGAAACAGAGAACATCCACGAGTGGGCTCGTTTCCAAGGTCACGGTAGTCCTTGGCGCGCAATGGGGCGATGAAGGCAAGGGAAAAGTTGTGGACATGTTAGCCACTGATGCTGATATCGTCTGTAGATGTCAAGTAAGTATTTTACTATATTATACTTCTTTTTTTTTGTTATTCATTCTTATTATTTTCTTGTTTACCTCTCTCTTTTCTTGTCTCTCTTTCCCCTTCTCTCCTTTTTTATATTTTTCTATATTTTTCTTTCTTTATTTCTCTCTATTTCAATTCCTCTTCTTGTTATTATTTCCTTTTCGATTAATCGATATAAACATCGTAAATAAGTTTGGCGCCTTTTTTTCTTAATTCAAACTAAATAAATACGTTAATCGTGATAAGTTTCCAACAAAAACATTTATAAAAGATTTATTTTCTCGAAAGTTCTTAAGAAAGATTTTATTTAAACTATCATTATGTCCTTGCCAATTATTTCGTTTCGTTTTGTTTCGTTTCTTTCTATTGTTGGAAACATATTTCGTATATACATTGAAATAGTTCAATACAGATATTTTTTTTATTTATTTTTTACTTCTCTTTTGTATTGGTTATGTGGTGTTTAATTTATTACATATGAAATACATGCACATATTTACTTTAATCTTTTAATGTTATATTTTTAGACAAAACGTCATTTGTTCGATGGATCTTACATTAGAAGTTTCAACCTCGAATATATGTATAACCTCTTTTATATTCGACACCTGGCATTACATAATTCTTGATTATTAGATAAATTGAACTTTGGAAGATCGTTGACGACATTCACGTGTTGTCCTTTTAATTTGTTTCCTGTTTATTTTTTTTTTTTTTTTATTAATCTTATGTGATTTTTCTTTTAAAGTGTTACTTTTTAGATATACTATATTATTATTATTATTATTATTATTATTATTAAATTTATAAATAATATTCTATAAGTAGCCATAAAAAGGAGTAAGCATTTTTTATTTCTAAATTATTTTTATTTTTTTAATGTTTTTATAAAATATAATATTGAAGATGAAACATACAATACTATGAGAAACTTTTAAACGTTTATCTTAAGATACTGCATTTAAATATCTCGCTATTTAACACATAAATTGTTTATTTATGAATCACAGTATAAAAAAGTATCTGAAATTGTATAATATTAGCTTTATGAACTATTTAAAAAAAAACTAGATGTTTTGTAATCTATTAGTATAGAAAAGGATCTAATATATATATATATTATTTTTTTTTAAGATAAAAGAGTCAAACATTTCGTTATCAAAGTATTATATAGTAAATTAGTTAAATATGTGAGGTAATTGATGCTTATCGTTAGAAAAAATAAAAAATTCATTTAAAAAATTTTTTAGGTAGAACGTAATCGATATAAAGTAAGAAAATTGAAACAATGAAACTAGGTCTCTCGTCTAGCTTTTATTCGTATATTTTTTCTATATCATATATTAAAAACAGGCATATTTGGAAACCAAAAAAAGTTTTTATATATCAATATATATGAGATAAATTATATTGATTCTTTTATGGCTGGTGAAAGCCCTGGCTCTTCAAATATTACTGTGATTTCACAGGGAGGAAATAATGCAGGGCATACTGTAGTTGCAGAAGGTGCCGAATTCGACTTTCACCTTCTGCCTAGTGGAATAATCAATCCCAGATGCAAATCCGTTATAGGTAATATTTTCAAATCAACAAATAAAGTTTAATAGTCTGGTTCTTCTTCGTGTTTCGAAATCAAAAAAGAAAAATAAATTTAAAAAATACAAAATAAAACCAATCATCTAATACACTGACATTCTATGCTAAATCGACTGTAAATCAAAAACCTGCAAGACGCAGAAATGCTTAATATATAATGTTATAGGTATATTCATATACAATTAACAAAAATTAAACCATTCTAAATAATAATTAATGGTAATTCGATAAAAAAAAAAAGATCTTTTTACGAAAGCAGGAAACTAGAGCACTGTTCTATTTTTTTATTATATGTATATACATGTCTGTAAAAATTCTTTTTTTTTTCCTTTTTTCCTTTGTCTTATTATAAATCTCACTGATTGATAAAATCAATATAATGTATTACTTATGTTCTAGCCACTTATATGCACATGTAAATATACTTACATATATATTTTTTAAATAGAAAATTATATTTCATTAAAAAAAAAATTGCATTTTGTTTGCAGGAAATGGGGTAGTTATTCATCTCCCAGGTCTTTTCGAAGAATTAGCAAAAAATGAAGCCAAAGGACTTAAAGATTGGAAAGATCGACTCATCATATCGGATCGAGCACATCTGGTATTTGATTTGCATCAACAGGTGGATGGATTACAAGAATTAGAGAAGGGAAATCAGTCTTTGGGAACTACAAAAAAAGGTATTGGACCGACCTATTCCAGCAAAGCTACAAGAAATGGACTCAGAATCGGAGATCTTTTGGGGGATTTTGAAGTATTTACCAAAAAATTCAATGCATTGGTGCTCTCGTATCAAAAAATGTTTCCCGCATTACAAGTGGATATTAACGCAGAACTGGAACGTTATAAAGAGTAAATATAATGTTATAAATATATTTGTAAAAATAAAAATGAATGCTCATTCATATTATTTTGAAACATTTTTTCTACAGATACGCAGAACGTGTAAGGCCGCTTGTAAAAGGAACCGTTCAATACTTACATCATGCTTTAAAAGAAAATAAGAAGGTGTTAGTTGAAGGTGCTAATGCTGCTATGTTGGATATTGATTTTGGAACATATCCATACGTGACAAGTTCAAATTGCAGCATAGGTGGGGTTTGTACAGGTCTTGGTTTACCACCTAATACGATTGGAGAAATTATTGGCGTTGTAAAAGCATACACTACAAGAGTTGGAGATGGTCCCTTCCCGACAGAGCTTCTTGATGCAACAGGAGAATTACTTCAAACTAGAGGTCACGAGTATGGGGTAACTACTAAAAGGAAGAGAAGATGTGGATGGCTCGATTTAACATTACTTAAATATACATCAATGGTTAATGGGTAAGCTGTTATATTTTTAATCTAAGTATAGTAATAATATTTTTTAATTTTGACTCTAGTAATTAATTAATTTTTACCACAGATATACCTCTATTTGTTTAACAAAATTGGATATCCTTGATACATTACCAGAATTGAAAGTGTGCATTGGGTATCGTATAAATGGAAAAGAAATAGATTATTTCCCAAGTACAACAACAGAATTGGGAAAAGTTGAAGCTATATACGAGCGTTTAGAGGGATGGTTATCCATAACTGAAGGTGTGCGTTCCATAGATAAGCTACCACACAATGCACGAACGTATATTCAGTTCATAGAACAATATTTGGATATACCTGGTAAATATAAAATTTATAATTTGCATTAGGATAGCAAATTAATGTAAATTTTATCATAACAAATTATTTTTTTAGTTAAATGGATTGGCGTTGGTGCTGGTCGAGAAAGCGTAATTGCTCTTTGACAATGTAGGATTCGTATTGTGTTACTTAAACGCACCATATCTAGTGTATTATTAATTTTAATTATATGTGTAATATTTCCGGTTCAGAGCTGATGCACGCACACTACAATAAGTTGAAACACCAAAAAAAAGAAAAGAATAGTTTCGATAAAGTAGTTTTATTCTTGAATTTAAGTAATTAGATACTTATATTGTGATTATAATGCAATGATAACATTTAGTCATTTGTATAGTCAGTGTCTATTATCTGAGTCCTCGATAATCATTGTCAGTAAACTTTTTGTTGTTTTCATCTACTATTCAAAGAAAATAACTTATTATACAAAATATTTAATAATATCTACTGTCTATACAATCAGAAAAAAGCCTGTGTGTCATTGAACCTATTTTTTAAACAAATAGTAAAAAAAATTCGAATTAGGTAATTTAATGTATAATAATGCACTCGATTAGTATAAATTGCTATCATTAATAACTTAAATACTTGCTTGCAATAAATGAAAATTACAGTTGGATAAATTCAAATTAATCGGTGCCATATGTTTATATTATCCAATGAAATAAAACACATGTGGTATTGTTTAACATTTATTTTTGTTGTTGTATCTCTTAATATTTAAGTCATAAAATGGACCTAGTAAATGAAATGGGAGATTTATTTTTAATCCAAGCTTGAATGTGTCATTATATGTACTGTATTATATATCCTAAACAATGCGCTGTGATAAATTAGTTTAAAATCGAAAAATAATTTTTGTGTAAATTACTATTTTTGTACGATATCTGGTGAAAGTCTCATGAAATTGCAGAAAACCAGTACATTTATTAAGAAATTAGATTAGAAAGGAATAGGGAAAAATAATCTTTTTTAAAAGTGGGTCTAGGCCAAGAGTGTCAAATTGGGTGGTCCGTCGTCCGTGGTCCGTATGTAAATACTGATATGGTTTTCTGTGGTCCGTGATCACGATACTATGCAGTAAAATGAAAAACAGAACAATGTATTACAAATAAAATAGCAAGTAACATGGTGTCTTTGCTATGACATCATATGATACATGTTATAATGCATTGGTTAACTGCGGGAGATTAGTCCGTGGTTATACACCTCACTAGTAACTTCAAGTCAATTTCACGAAAATTCCAGAATGATTCGGCTTAAAAAAAAACAAATATCGAAAAATAGGAACTCCCAAAATATATTCCTATTTACGTAAAAAATATCTAGAAATTACAAAATTTACTGCACAAATCTTATGCTTTTTTGAAAATTTATAATTATGTGAGCATTTTTTTTCATGCACAAAATTAAGTAAAACTACTTATTAGCTGATAAACATCTATCTGTTATAATAAAGATTGTTCTCAGTCTTTGAATTCAGATATTGGAAAACTAGTAGGAGGAAGGAAGTGCTGACAAGTTTCCGGTAAAAACAAATTTTAGTTTTATTAATATATACATTAAATAAAATAAATGTTTAAATAAAAGCAAAATACTATATTAAATATATATTGAATTAAATTAATTGAATTGTATAATATGTTTTAATTGTTCTATTTATTCCTGCATTTTCACTTTAAAATATAATTTTAAAAAATGTATAAATGTAATATGGACCGTGTGAATCTTACTAGTTGCATTAAATGAATTTGTATAAATGAGTTTGACACACATGGGATAAACTATTAAAGCAGTGTACATTTTGTGATAAAGTGTTTAATCATTAAAAAGCAAACTTATTCGAAAATTCTAGAAACGTTTTAAATATTTTTAATAGAACATAACCACAAATAAACGTTTTAAATGTTGTTTATAGAACATAACCACAAATAAACGTTTTCATTTAGTATTCTTTTGAATGCCCATTAGTGACATTAGTAACATCTTTTTAAATCGAATAATAATATTGTAATGATAGTACATACGTTTTTAATGAATTATGAGTAATATCTATAGATTATTTATTTTAATAATTGATTAGATTTTTCTGTCATTTCACTAATTTAAATCTGCTTTCCTATAAATTATGAAATTAGACAAATGGAAAATATAGTATTGAAGGGAAATGATATAAAAAACAAAAATAATAGATATTTTAATAATTTGTATTTTTACTTTTTTTATAAATTCATTTTTAACCTATCACGGTTAACCTATTTAAATATCATTAATTCAGTTTACCCATAAAATGAAATATTAATATTTAATTAATATTAAATATTAAATATATAAAATATTATGTTTCAATATAATTATATTCAAATAATAATTTGGTTATTACTTAAAAAATTTTAAAACGGATATTCAGGATGATTCTTAATACCTTTCATGAAAGAAAAATCACATATGCGTGCAGATTTTCCTTTGTTTAGAGCTTCTAGCTCCAATATATCTTCGTCTTCCAATTCCCAATCGAATAACTGTATGTTTTCTTTAATTCGTTGTGGGTTAGTACTTTTTGGAATAGTTGAGATACCCTTACAAAGAATATGTTTTAGCAAAATTTGAGCAGCAGTTTTATTGTATTTTTGGGCGATCTTCAAAACAACAGCATTGGTTAGTAAATCTGGGAGGACATCAGTCTTTCCTAGCAATTTTACCAGTCCACGGTTACCCAAAGGTGAATATGCAGTCATACTAATATTATTACTTTTACAAAATTCAACCTGTAGTGCATGGTTTATTTTTGTCATTATTTTTTTTTTTCATTCTATAATAAATAATATCATTTTTATATTATGATACTTACCAGTTCAACTTGCTGGAAATATACATGTAATTCTACTTGTAAATTAGAAATTGGTATAGATGCAATAGATAAGATTTTATTTATTTGAGTTTCGTTAAAATTCGAAAGGCCTATACTTTTAGTTCGTCCTAGTTCAACTTGCTTTTCCATCTCCTTCCAAATTTTTACATGATCCGTAGAAGTATCGATCATAATTTCTCCTTTTTCATTCTTAGGATGTAAATTCTCTCCAATTTCTTGGAACGTAAATGGCACGTGTACCAAGTAAAGATCTAAATAATCTAATTGTAAATTTGCTATAGATTTTTTAATCCATTTTTCAACACCTTCTGGACGAACACCGACTGGTGGCAACTAAAATTTATCATAATATTTTGTTCCTTATTATTATCGCATATAATATTTTTATTCGCATCTTGAATTATTCATAAAATATTAAATAATTATTAAATATTAAAATAAAAATATTAAATATTAAATATAATATAAATATAAAAATTAAAATATTAAATTAAATATTATATACTAAATAACTAAAAAAAATTAAAGCATTTTATTATCGATTATTACAAATGATCAAATATATATGTATCTTTGTTAATCTTATATTTTTTCTTATTTCTCCAAACATTAAGAAAATTATTTGACTTATTCTCCAATTTAACAGATACTTAACTATTGGTTAAAATGTTTTACACATTACCATAAACATTATTTTTAATTTTACATTCAAATATAAATAAAATATTATCATATATATAATATATATTGATAAAATATATATTGATATTTTATAATCATAATAAAATATAATGTTAATTAATTACAAAATCAATATAAAATAATAAAATTTCAAAATATACAATTGTTAAACTAACCTTCGTTACAATAAAAAGTTCAGACCGTTTAATTTTGCCAGAGTCTAACCATTTTTTTATAACTTTACCAATGGCATTTTCATTTTCATATACTGTAGCAGTATCAATGTGTCTGTATCCCGCTTCAAAAGCTAGATCTAATGCTGTTTCTATTTCTTCTTCACTTGCCTTTTATTTGACATTATATTAATTAATAAAATACAATTATTAAAAATAATTATTTATGTATATATAAATTTGTGATTATAAAACTGGTCTTATATGTCTCTGTAGTTTCGTTCGGTTTTAAAATATTTTAACATTTGGGTAAACAGAAAAAGTAAGTACATTAATTTTTTTATTATTTAACTTATAAATGTAAAGAGACCACTTTCATAATCATTTATATGTGTATATAATATTACCTGCCAAGTACCAAATCCCAATATTGGCATCTGTTGTCCATTTGGTAAAGATATGCATTTTTTTGTTTTCATGTTTAGATTCCTTAGTTATAATTATATTATAAAACACAATATCCTTATTGAATAAAAGAAATAAATAGTATCTTATGGCTGTTCTCAAAGGAAGAAGAAGTTATACTGTTAAGAAGTATTTAGTACTTTTGATACCTTACTATGTCCCCCACCATAAGTAAATGAGTTGTTCTGCCTTTTACTTCTACCAGAGAATACTGTCCTTGTATTTCAAGTAAAAAATAAATATTACATTAACTTCTAATCTAGAATAGTTGTATAAATTATTCACTAATAATATAATATATATTTATCTTTATACTGTGGACTCTTATGTTGTTGAAAAATATTCAGATATGTGACAAATATGAAAGAAATATACAAACAATATGCTAACATTAAATTTAGAATTTTCAAGTAAAGTATTTATGAATGATTTATCAGTTGTTTTATTTTTCATAATTCGCGTTACAATGTAGAAAAATTGTTTCATCGAGATTTTTAATTGTAAAATGATGTTTATTTGAAAAAATTAATTTATAAGCAAAAAATAATTTGTCCACATCTTGTGTGATTTACTCCAATATAGTACTAGAATATTTTCTGGTTTAAATAATCTAATTTATATATTATTTGAAATTTTTATTTTTATTTACGATTATTATTACATTAACAAAACAACTTTATACACCTCTATATTTCAATTATTTATTTTTTAAATTTATTGCGTTAAACGTTTTTTCTTTTAATCATTTATTGCGTTCTTATCGTAGAAAAACTTACTGAGAGATATGTTAACGTTATTATCTTTTAAAAAATTCTAAGATAATGGAGATATGAATCAGAGAATATAGAATAACTGCGACATTGCAAATTATTTCATTGCTACATTTACGACTAAAAAAAAACCAAGCATGTATTCTATGCAATAATTTTATGTATATAAACATGGAGGAACTTTCTCTGACCCTGATGGAAGTATGTGTGTCAGAAAAGAATATTTTCTGTATCATTGGTTTTACAAGAAACTTACTTATTTATATAATTATGCATAGACTAAAGACATTATTATTCGATGATGAAAATATGTATTTTAATTAGATTTATATAAATAACTAAACCTGCATATATATATACAATCTTGCTTTATTTTGCCAGGGCATTAAACTCAAATTAGGTCATACACCTGGTGTTTCACGTTTTATTCTGAAATATGCATTATCCTATTTATATTCAATTTTCGTTGTATAAATATAAATGTAAAGATTTTTTACATACGCATTTATTATTATTTTTTCTTTAATAATAGAATAGCGTGAGAAATATAGTATATTAAATATAACAAAAAAGTAGAACAATCACGTAAAGTTGACGAGCTAATTATCTCATTTTTGATTTATATAAAATGAAATGAATGTAATTAACATGAATGTAATAAATATTTATTTATGTATAATTATTGAAATAATTAAATTTATTTCCAGATTTGATCTCATGTATATCTGTATAAATTGTGGAACTGAAACAGAAGAACTTTATAGACGATACTGTCCAAGCGTTCTTAAAGTTTTGAAATGCGTCAGTTTGTATATTCTTATTTGTATGTTTACACAATATATTTTTTTATCTTTTAATTCTATATTTTATTGCAGGTAAAGTGTGGATTATTAGCTGACAAATATATCGAATATGATCCTGTTATTGTATTCGTTGACCTTATTTTATTGGAGAAACAAGCCTATCAACACCTTTTATATAACAGTAATTTTAAATCATATTGGAAGCTGATGGTAATGTTATGGTTGGCTGAAGCTTTCAGAGTATGGTCTTTTTGTGAATCTATTAATAGTCAAAAAAGCAATCAAGTTCTAGAAAACAGAGATATGTTTCAAGGAGACTGTAATTTTTATATCCTTTTATTGCGAACTGCCGTTACATTGACAGCATTTATTGCCACTGTAATTATAGTTACTGAAATACGTTGGCTAATTAATGGGAAAAGGCCACACAAGTATAATGCCAAAGATTTAACTAGAGCACTTATTGTGGGAGGATGTTCTAAATTGTTAGGATTATTAGCTATTATATGGAAACCAATAGAATTAGATCTACATTACATATTTGTTCAGGGCTATACAGTTTTATGCCTTATGACAGCGTATTCAGGTAAATGTGTATATGTTTATCAAAAATGATAGATAATATGTTAAATTGCACTGTAATGACCAGAAAGTTCTCATATTTAATTTATATATATATTATCAATAAATTCATGATTTATTGATTAATTTTAAATTATATTTGATATTATACATTATGTACCAGTATTTTTCAGCCTAATTGAATTATTCGTTACAGTTGTCTGTAAGACTGGAAAAAGTGGATCTTTGATTGGATTGATTGCTGGATTTTTGGTTTGCGATTACATTTCTAATTTTGTTTCTACATTGCCTCTCTGTCCAATGTTATTCTAATGTAAGGATCGATCTAATACTAACAGATTTTGATGCTCAGGCATCTTTGACAGGAAGAATACTCCATCCTACCACTAATCTATCAAATCCGCAAGAAAAAAAGTTACAAATACTACTGCTATCTTCTGCCCATGCTACTGAACAGACCATTCTGCGATGACCCTAGAATAATAATTTTAATAATATATTATTATTATTATTATTATTACTACTATATTTTACGAGAGTTACGTTTTATACAAACTTTATAATTTTGTATTAGTTTGCGATATAAATAAGTATAAATGATATATGTAACTATTGAATAGTATTATTGTAGTTAGATCACATTTTTTCTAAATAATTTTAATATTTACCTGTCTACTAGTCCTTGGTAATCTTGCTAAACGTTGTCCAGTTAAATCAAATAAACGTATTTGTCTATTGTCATGTGGTATAGCTACAACTCCTATACTTGAAACAGCCAATCTATTAGCAGCACTATCACCGCGAATTGTCGCTAAAGGACTTCTTATATTACGTAGTTCCCATACTTTAACACTTCTATCGTCAGACCCTGATACAATTTTATCCTCTCGTGTAAAAACTGCCGAAGTTACTGTTCTATATCAAGAATATACATTGGTAGATACTAAATATGAATGAATAACATTATGAAAAATTATTGCACTTACTCTGTGTGACCTTGAAAAACAGATACAGAATGTATAGGTTCTCTAAAATCCCACAAACGAAATGTACTATCCCGACTTGATGTGACACATAATCTTTGCATATAATGAGTAGACACATGTGACAGTTCTTGATCATGTCCACAAAGAGTATGAATTATTTCTCCAGTTTCTGTATCATATAAATTAGCAGTTCTATCCCAGGATGCTGTAACTATTTGTTCAGCACCAGGTAGCCAATCGGCTGCCATGACTACACCCATATGACCTACAAGTTCTCTTATTGGAGTTCGTAAAGTAGGGGGTTCCTCTAGTTCCTCATTGTTGCTAATAATGCTGCTCGCAGCTGTTCTTTCTGCACCCATCGTTGAAAGTTCTTCCATGGATGGTACTCTTTTAGGTAAATCCCAATCAACCGCTGCTTGCCATACATGAGCAGAGCCATCTCCACTTGCCGTTAAAGCAAGATCTCTAGTTGGATGAAATCTCACAGAATTTACAGAACCATTGTGACCTATATATTGTAGCAAACATCGTCCAGAATCTGATGCCCAAACTCGTGCCGTATGATCTGCAGATGCAGTTGCTATAATTGGTTGACCCAATCTACCTACTGAAACTTCCCATACGCCATCTCTATGACCAACATATTCTTTTTGCAGAGTACAGGACATCGTTGGATTTTTAAAGCTTGATACAATTTTACTGGTTTGAGCTTTAAGTTTGTGTGAAGTCTTTATTTTCTGGGCAGACGAGCTAACCATAGCTGTAATGATTTAATTTAATATTAATTAAGAATATTATACTATTAAATAGTAGTTATACTGCTATAGTTTGATATTGATAAATACGATAAATGAATTGATTACATTTTTGTTTGGAAAGCGTTTTTGTATCTGGGTAGTCTGCAATATCTCCTGGAGGTAGGCTGCGTTCTCCAGAGCCATAGCATTCTCTTTCCAATCGATCATTCAATATATCTATTTTTTCCTGTACTGTTTTAAAAATGTTTAATATATAAATATTTTTTATAAATTAGATAATACTTTCTATTGGATTGCACTGAGTATATATATATATATATACTTAGTTCATTAAAACTTAACAATTATATGTTTACTTCTACTGAACAATACTATTTACAATACAAATTGTGCAAAGATAACTACGACCTACTCTCTAACTGGTTTATAATAACTTTTCTTTCTAATATTTCTCTAATACAAATTGATATATATATATATATATATGTTTTACATCCATGCCTTCAATAGTAAGATTCCCCATAATGCGAACACCAAAAGTGTGCAGTGCGATACACATTACAATATTGATATACTCCTGATATTTCTGCGAAATATATTAATGATAATTTAATAATTCCAGCGCAACCCAACAGATAAGATTAAATCTAAGATGCCGTAGAACCTTACATCCAAGATTTTCTGTGCAGAGCATCTCAAATTCTTTCTCAATTTGTTGAAATAGATCAAATAATCGACAACGCAGTGCGGGTGGTATAGGACTTTCCTCGATATCTGATCGAAAGCTTACATAGTGCAGTGCTAGAGGCTGTAATGGTGTAGAGCCACTTTGACTTTGTTGTGACTGCAATTCTGTATCTGTGCTGCTTTGAACACGAGGTATTGAGATTCTTTTGGTTTTCCCGCTTGCTTTGTTAGCGCTTGTTACAGATGGTTCTCCGGGCATGGTTCACAGATTAATGTTAATGCAAAATAGATTGTGCAAATAGTTTTATTCTAAAAAGATAAGTTATCCTGTTCTTTCTCTTTTTCTAGAAAGCTTTTTTTATAAATTCTGTACATGTATAGTCCGTAAAATAAGTCACACTAGTTATTTGTCAGTTATTATTAAATGTGCATATAATAAATAACAGAAAAAAGATAAAAGAAATGATTTGGAAGAAAAAGAAGATTGGACATGTACAACGTTTAATAAATTAAAGAAAATCTTTTGACATAGATAGCAACCTCAAATAAAAATTTCAATTGGAAATGAGCTCAATTTTCATACACATTAACAACATATCTCAAGTTTAAGAGATTATCATACAGCTACACACAATACATGTAATTGAATTCATGCTATGAGAATGAGGTGTGTGTACGTTTGCGTGTTATGATGTGTTGTGTATGTTTTTGACAGCGGCATTTTAATTTTGATTCTCACTTACGCCACGGTATAATACAATCAAATATATGTATATATTTAATCAAAGCTCAAACTTATTGAGTGAGCTTCTCTTTGAATGAAACAATCTTTTACAAGTATATCCTTGAAAAATCATTGATTCAACCTAGAAGTAGATAGAATGCACGAAATAAATTGCAATAAGTTTAGCATTTTAAAAACACGATTTAACCGGTTGCCATATTTTTTTTCTTTAGATATATTACTAATTTAGAAACACTTATATTCATATAAATTTATATACAATATGATCGAGAGTTATAAGACAGCAATACTTCTGCGAAAGGGAATTCCATTTTTAATGACTAGAAATTAAAAATGGCAGCATTGCTTTTACCAGTGCATGTATCGGTAGTTCTAAACTCCATACAGATGAGCACGAATTGGGAATGGATTGACTGATACGAGCTTTAATATTATTACGCATACGCAAGCTAACAAATTTGGTTAGAAACGTTTTTTTATTCGATGACTTAAAATTGTTGTTTCATTTAAAGAAAATAACGTTTTGATTGAAAATATAATAAACAGGAGGACGAACGCAATGCTTTAGAAATGTACAAAAATGACGGGACAGATTTTTGCCACTAGAGCGCGTTAGTGTGACTAGGATCAGATTTTTAAAACCTAGTTCATTGTCGCGGGAATGAAATTATTCACGCGTTAAAGCAATAAGAAAATTTTTTTTATTATTTTACAATTATTTCCAAGATATTATCGTCAACTTGTTATGTAAATCTATTCAATTTCATCTTACCTAGTCGCAGTTGAGTAAAGGATGGAAAACTAAATTAAATAAGTCCAATTAAAAGTAAATTGTAATTTATTATCGTAAATTGCACTTTTTACAAGACTAGAAATTTCTCTAGCATAAGTAGAGTTAAAAAACAATAAATAATAGATTTAATAAGAATAATAAGTTCATTAATAATTTATGACAGTTTAGAGTATTTACGAAGTTTTTTGTTTTCAACTTCCGATTGTTTAAAGTACGATCCTTGACTCTTCCACTTATACACTCATGAACTATACATTTCTTTACCATTTTGAAATAAATATTACTTTTTATAAATTAAAAAAACATTAATACAATTGCTAATGATGCAGTATTGTCAACAATTGTCAATGAAAAATAAGACGTCATAAACCTGACTTCAGCGAACATAACGAAACCTAGCGGCGTATTTCCGAAAATAATCTTTTTTTTTCTTTACATTCATATTTGCTAGTTATTTTCCTATGTCGTTCGCCCTCCTGTTATCTGACTCCGTGATATAGTACATGAAGTAAATATTCTTACATTGTTTATATGACATTCATTCTATAAACATATAAAAAAAAACAAAAAAGGAAGGTCTTTTAAGTGTCTTCAAGAAGAATTTATTTTTGAATAAACCTATTTGTTATAAAATGGTTGATGACAATAATGTATTATTTGTTAGAGGAAATGTAAATATATATATATTTTATATCATTTTCTTAAACTTAATCATAATTAGATATTTATAATTAGAATTGTGGTAAATGTAACTTTGTTTGTAGATAATTTTTGTTTTTTATTCATATTTAATAAAATTAATTCTTTGCAATAACTTCAACACAATGGTATCATTAATATTGAAATTTTTGAATTTTCTAGGAAAATGACAATGAATTTATTTGGGATGATGCAGCATTAATAAAAGCATACGACAGAGCTATAAATCTAGCTAAGGAAGAAGTTGCTATGCGAATTGGTATCGATTATCCATGTACAACTTCCAAATCAAAAGTTCCACAACAGAAACAATCTCGTACTACATATAAACAGAAAAAGGTTGTAGATTAAAATGATAATTATTATATCATGACTTAGTATAAAATACTAAATGATTATTTTTTTAATAGAAATGGTGTGTTGGGTCTCCGTGTCGTGCTGTCTATTCAGAAGATGGTGAAATTTACGAAGCTATTATAACTAAAATTTATGACAATTACGGAACATGTATTGTCAAATTTATAGGTAATTAATATAGGTTTTATAATATTAGAATTTTATTTTCATTGAAATATTTTCTATGATAGACAATAGATTCTACTTTATGTTATTATTAAATTCATTTGGTTTCAGGTTATGGTAATAGCGAAAAGGTAGAATTAAGTAGTCTTTTAGAATCAGAAGGATTACAAAGTCAAATTGCTCAGCAGAAGAATGCATTAGCAGAAAAATGTAATGAAGAAAGTATGGATCAGAGTGAGTCAGGTTGTTCTGATTGTAAGGCTAAAAGTGTTAATAGCACCGTTGATGAAAAGATGGAATTTGATTCTGAACAGAGAGAACCTAAAATTTATATCGATTCAGGTCCATCGGTTAATCCTTTCTTAAATATGATGCCTCCTGCACCTCCTTTACCACCTCAATTAATGGCTAAGTAAATAGCTTTTAATGATCTATGCTTATAAAGCATTTTTTCTTATTTTCGTGCATGGAATACGCTGATATTGTTTGACTGAGAAAATCTCAGACATCCTGTATATACATAAGATTAAAAATTGATATGTATGTATTTAATGATTTATTATCGTTTCTAGGCTACCAGAAAATGATGCAGATGCTCTTTCCAGTATGTTGATGTCATGGTATATCAGTGGATTTCATACAGGTATTAAATATTACATTTAAATATACATTTATGTGATTTATTTGTAAATTAAAAAAATCTTATAAAATTAAGTATAGAAAATTTCTTTGATAGGATACTACCACGGTTTGAAACACGCTAAGGACAATAATCTGAAAAGAAAGAATTGACTTTATAAGAGAAAGAACACACAAGTAATATTATCACTTATAAAATATAATAATTTTATCACTTTTAATATTCAATATGCATTGTATTACTATCAATGATAACAAAAAAAAATTAGTTTCTCATAACTGAAACATAATTATTTAATATTCGATGATAGTTGTTGTAAATATGTATATATGTATATTGATTTACCTAAATTGTAAATGTCAAATTTCGCAAGTAGAAAAGCCGAAATTTGTATTCCATTGTATATATCGCGGTTTCATGTTTTTTACAATGGGTTTTACGAATACCATTGCATCTACGAGATGCGTTACGTTGATTATTAGACCGTTGCTTTGTACATCTTCCGGTATAATTTTCTTCTCTTCAAGAGATTGAAGAATGGGTCGCAATTGATTCATCCATGCTTCTTTGCAAAGTAATTTTAGGTCGGCGCATGAATAACCCTCTGTATATTTTAAAAGTGATATGAACTCCTCCGTTACATGTAGTTTGCTTTCTACGTACGATTGTAAAATTTCTAAGCGACTCTCGTAGTCCGGCAGATCGACAAAAATACGTTTCTCTAATCGTCTTAACAAAGCAGCATCTAAATTCCTACATTTACATTATTATAAATATGAGAATGATATAGTATAATTATATATAAGCTAGTGATTAGGTAAGTGGTCTGACAATAAGTCATTTGAGATATTAAAAGGCAGTTTATCTTACACGTTATTTTTCAAATTTTGTATTATAAACAAAGAAATTAATTTTTACAAGAACAAATATAATTATTTTTTTTCTATTTATTTACTATGGAAAATTAATTTTTATATAATACAAATTTTGACACAACCCTTAAAATGACAAAAAGTTAGTTAAACATAGTATGAATTCCATAATTTTGTAATACCTATTTTATAAAAAAATTATTAACTCATAGAATATAGTTAACTGTCTAGCCACGTTAAATTACTAGTTCCCGTTAGATCACTACAGTTAAGCAACGTGGGCACGGTTAGTAACATGAATGAATGACCCATTCGGAGAAATAAAAACCGTGTGCTGTTTACTTTAAAAAGGCGGAAAAAAGATGTGTCCTCTTTGGTAATATTGGATAAGTATGAGAAGGTGTTCGTAAAGAAATGACTCGAACTCTTAAAAGAAAGATTGAGAAGAGACCAACTCATAGAATAACTCTTATATTATATCATTATAATAATTATTTGGTCATAGTTTTATTTTTATATTTATTATGCCACTTATTATTAACTAACACAAGCCGTTAAAAAATAGTATAAAAGCTACTCCAAAAAAATCAAAATTTTAGAATTAAATTTGTTTAATTTCATATTATCGAGGATTGATAATTTTTTGTATAACTTGGTGCAATTAGACCACTTTCATAATCACTACTTCATTTATATATTATTCTTCTTCAATACATTACCACGGTACATTCGTAGCAGCTAAAAGAGTAACATTCACATTCTCCGTAGATAATAATCCATCTAATCTTGCAAGAAGTTCTGCCCTAAATCGTCTAGCAGGTTCAGAGTTCATCGAAGAATAATCACCGGTATTGTTCGTGGTCGTCCAATCAATTTCATCGATAAATATTATTGTTGGAGCATAAAATCTTGCGAGATCGGTAAGGACCTATAAATTCATATATATACACACATACATATGCATATAAAAAATATAATATGTTTCTAATAATTAACGTATACATACTCTAACGTATTTTTCTGAATCACCTCTCCATTTACTAATTAAAGAGCTCGACGTAATATTAAAGAAGGTAGCACGACATTCAGTTGCCACTGCTTTAGCAAGCATAGTTTTACCTGTTAATGATCGATTTTTTTTATTATTTATTTATATTTATCGTCCGATTTTTTTTTCTTTTTCCCATTTTTTATTATCGTTATCATATACCTGTGCCTGGTGGACCATACAATAACACACCTTTCCAGGAACCAAGTTTTTCACCAAATAAAGCAGGATATTTGATTGGGTAGACAGTTGCTTCTTTTAATAACATTTTGCATTTATTTAAACCTTTGATATCCTCCCAATGAACGTTTAAATTTCTCAATACTATTTCCTATTTATTTTAAATTGATTTTTATTTTTTTTATTAAGATATAAATCAAAATACTAAGAGTTTATAAATGATGGATAAAATTAAGATTGTCAATGAATGAATGGGTGTCTAGAAGAACGATATATGTTATATTTAATACAAATTTTAGGTAAATATAAAAACAACTCATTGAACGCTACAGTAATGAAAGAAGTAATATTTCATTCTAAACAAATATAAAATATAATTCAATTATTATTAAAGGTAATATACGCACTTCTTTCAATCACCGATTCAATCATCTATTCAAATAATAATTTGATATATATATATATATATATATATATAAACATTCTTAATATTACCCATCATTTATAAATATTCTATAAATACAAATATATGCATAATAAAATAGAATTAAGTATAATTAGAAGAATGTTCATGTTTACTTACTTTAGAAATAACTTCAGCGATTTCTCTCCATTCCGAACCAGACGGATATAGATCTCCGATAGGCTTTAATGTTCTTTCATTATCGGAAATAAAGTCAGGGGCAATCGATTTTGAATGGACGTTTTCCGAACGTGGAAAAATAGGCATTACAGTGATGCCGAAATTTGATTCCTCAATGGTTAATCCATTTGTTGTTGTTGACTTCGACGATGGAACTTTATTCTTCCATGCTCCACTTTCATCTTCGGATTTGGAATAAACCTTTCCACTACCATCTCCTCTGTCTCTTTTATTAACCCTGAAAGAAAAAAACAAACAAAAAAAGTTAGATTAATTTTTTAACGTTTCTTAAAATGTTTTTTCTATGTACAAATCATAAATGTTGTTTTACGTGTTGTGAAGATAATTGGTGTTACCAGTTGACTCAATTTTTTTACATAATTTTGGATACTTATTGAATCTCGCATAATGGTAATTTGAATATTCCATTAAAATGATTTCCAGATCGACATTATCGCAAATTTGAATATCACGGGACAATTGGGCTTCTTTCGAAAGAACATCAACGGAATTGGTGTATCTGAAAGATATTAAATGTTGTTTTATTTATTTATTTCTGAAATTTTTACGTAAATAAAATAAAAAATATGTTTTATTTATTATATGTTTATGCAGTGCATTAAATTTAAATAAATACGTTTACCCTTGTTCTCCTAAAAATGCGGCTACGAGGTATAGAAGATTTCTACGTCGCTCTTGGGCACGTTTCTCCTCCTGATTATAAATTAATAAATTCATTAAATTAAAAATCTTAAGCCTCCCCATTTTTTTTCGTTCACGCATTCAAACACAGGTGTGGTAAACATTACAGTTTTTATACCGATTGCATAACAATGCACGTAGGTAGTAACATTTTTTTATTGAAATAATCAAGATATAATATATTACTACATATTTATAAATTAATTTGACCATAAATCAAATTAAATTATGTTATTATTTTTTTTTAATAAATATTCTTAGCTTTTATTTTTTATTGCATTAAATTAAAAAATAAAAGACACTTATTAAGATTGAAATTGAAAAGATAAATGTGGGATTCGTTGACAGAAAATAAATTCAGTTAAATATTTCCAACCATTTTAGTTATCCCTAAATTATCGAGTGAGATATATATTTTCTATTTTAAGAATATAAATGGAATCTTGAATGAGTAAACGTCAGGTCTCTCATCGATCTAATTCGAATCGAGTTAAATGGAAACACGTGGCATGTTCATTCATTGGTCGAGGTTCATTGTACAGTTTTTAACCGATTTAAAAGCGATTGTGCGCCTAATACACGTCGTAATTCAGAAAATCTATAAGAATAGTATAGTATAAAACTGGGTTTTTCTAACTGTTCCCTTTAACGACTTTATTTGCTTCAGCAAATATTTTCGTGACCCTGGGCATAAACTCAATACTATTTTTTCTTTCACTATCATAAACATCAAAAATACTGTATGTGTAGTGTTGACAAGTTAGTTTTGAATTAATTTTCTGTCTGCGCGTTTAGGAATTTCGTAGTTTTGCTCAAGTTTCTCTAATCTTTAAATTTATTTAAGTGACCCCCCCATGGGGGGTCATCTCATATGGGGTCGCGAACCACACTTTGAAAAGTACTGATATAGAATATGTTATAGAATATTAGATAAATAACCAAATGCTACATAAATAAATTAATTCATAATTAATTCCAACAAATATGAATCCATATAAATGCTAATCAAAAACAAAAGAAAATAATAATTTTCAAATGTAGCCTAAGATCAGAAATGTTACCTTTTCCCTTGTCAGCTGTGTCATGCGATTAGCGGTTGCGTTCAATGACAACAATTCACTGCTCATCATCGGACACTTTGTTTACTTAATAGAAAAGTACCGAATAAATATACTAATTAAAGCACGAAAAAGAAAGAAAGAAAAAATGAATAAGAGAGACAAAGAGAAAAATTAAAAGATTTTGTTGAAGTTTCGTGCTTGGTTGGTTGTTTGGAAAAGGACAGGTTCGATTCGTTGCTATGACAATTTTGATGCGGTGTCAAAAGAACAATAAGAGGTCTATAGAATGAGGTAAAGTGTTATATACATATAAAGTGTGCATACATACACATAAGTAGATAAAAAGGGAGGTGGAAACATAAAGATATTACAGATAGAGGAACAAACTATAGGCGGTTGTGTAAGTGGAAATGTCTCTGCATGAATATAGCAGCAAAAAACGAAAGGTTGATGTTGTCTCTCTCTACTCATGCGGTACATATATATATATATATATATATATATATATATATATATATATCACATATAATATAACGCAAGAAAGAACAACAGCTCTCAAGTTAGAAAGAGACGACATCAACCTCCTATCTTCTATCTCTTTTTATTTCGCCGACAGGTTTTATGCTGGCTTGTTTGCTCTATGTGTAGTATATCTATGGATGGAAAGGAATCGAAGGAGAAATAGACGGTGCATATCATATTTATTATGATATGGAACTGGATCAGTTACACATAGATATGCATATGTGTGTATGTGTGTGTGTATGCCTGTATGCATTCGTCGCACTGTTTATTAAGCAAGCACATAAAAAAAAGGGAATGTGCTATTTGAGAATTAAATTTATTCATACAATTTGAAACAATAATTTTACATATATCTCATAGGAAACAGGAAATTGCTGTAGTTATTTTTAGTTCAGAATGGTGAATTTAATTTTAATTACTTTTAACGAGATTAGATTATATACGTTTCTCACGATATTTATCGGTTATGAAACTTGTATTAGTATGTTTTATGATATATATGCAGGTATAATAAAACAAAGTGTACTTCGTAGGTTACTTCTCGAACGTTTCTATACAATAATTTATTTTAATATTTCTATATAATATCTTATTATATTAATATTTGAATATTTGTTTTATATAAATAAAACCTATAAATTAACATAATTATCTATATAAGTAAACAATTTAACATAAGGTCCAATACTCCTACAATTTCATTCACGCCCTTCATGTATATGGGGCATTCCACGCCAAATCGGACGGTTTTTAACATTTTTATTTTTGATTTCCGCGATTTTTTTGATATCTTTTAGTACCCATCGAAAAACCCTTCTTCCTAAATTTTGGCATTTTTTTGATCATCCGTTCCAAAGATATCGAATTTTCAAAAAAAAAACAGCTCTTTCTGTGGTTTTTAGCCCGTAACTTTTTTAAAACTCATCCAAATGAAAATTACCATTCTACATAAAAGTTTTGTTTTTCAATGTACTTTTCGAAAAAAAAATTCAAAAAAATTATGTAAAGTGTCTTAATACGTAATTTTCGATTTTTAAACTTTAAACAAAAATAAGAAAAGTCTTGATTTATTTTCGTTATTTTTTGAGAAATTTTGGCAGTCTATTATCCAATACAATTTTCTGTAATGAAATAGCTTTTTTATGTGGATAAAAGCATTAAAAAAATTCATTTCAAATTTAAAAAATCATTTCATGATTTTTTCACGTAGTGGCGCTACTGACTATTTCCTTTTACTGTTACCCTTTTTTCTCATTAATAGTCATATTGATTTTATATCTGTATCAAAACCTCTTTTGTTATTGTTTACTACTAAATGTCCACCAGTATATTTTGTGTATTTTAATTTGTTGCTTATTTTTGTTAATTATTAATCTAAATCAGTAGTTATGACTTTACTATTGTTATTATAATTAAAAAATATGTAAAGTGTCTCAAAATACATTAAAAGAGAGAAATAAATGACAAAATTTAATAAAATAAAAAAAAATTTTTTTTTAATTTTCAAAAATCGAAAAAAAATAGTAGTTATCGAAGGTCCACGACCAGACCGGCCTAAAAAGTTGTGGAGTTAGTAGTATTTAGCTGTAACAAATTTTGAAGAAAATCAAAATATGCACTCACTTTAAAAAATGCAATTTAAAGTTTAAAAATCGAAAATTACGTATTAAGACACTTTACATAATTTTTTTGAATTTTTTTTCGAAAAGTACATTGAAAAACAAAACTTTTATGTAGAATGGTAATTTTCATTTGGATGAGTTTTAAAAAAGTTACGGGCTAAAAACCACAGAAAGAGCTGTTTTTTTTTTGAAAATTCGATATCTTTGGAACGAATGATAAAAAAAAAAATGCCAAAATTTAGGAGGAACGATTTTTCGATGGGTACTAAAAGATATCAAAAAAATGGCGGAAATCAAAAATAAAAATTTTTAAAACCGTCCGATTTGGCGTGGAATGCCCCATATACTCCTTTATTAACATCTTCCATAATTTTCTCAAAATACCATGCACACACACACAACACACACAAATAAATTGATAAAGTCAGTAGAACCTTTAACATTATTCCTTCAATCGTGATGGACTTATTTCATACCTATATACACAACTAATTATTATCCGACTCTTTTATACTACTTATTTAACTGTCGATCGAGTAAACTTACATATTTACGCACACATGTTCATTTTGACCAATGCTAGGATCTTCCATTTCACACTAATACACGAATTAACACACCATAAATGCATACTGTCCTGTAATCTTCTATAACAAAGAGAATAACGAATGGTCGATCATCGAGGTATACATACAGCATAATAAAAGCGAAATAACACTTATTTTTTATGACACGAATATATTTGGACACAATTTATTTTTTGTAGCTTTTTCGTTCTAATAAGAAATTAATTAAACCACCTAGAAGTTTCTTTTTGTTTACAATTATAACTGTGTTGATGAAACACTCAATGAAGGATCGTGAATTAGATTAGATTGAAAATTAATAGATATCATAGGTATTATTAGGGATAATGGGACGTATATGGCAAAAATACTTATTTTGATGTATGCTAACTGGTCTTTTCTATAAAAAAAGGGTAAATCATACCGGAAAATTGCTAAATTATTAAATAATAACAAGAATACAGTAGCAAAATAGAATAAAAAGTATTACATAGAAAGTATTTGAAAACTCCTTACTGTCCAAGATAAACATAAGATTGTCAGGAAAACAAACCAAGATCTTGGATTGAGTACATTGAAATGGATCATGCAGTTTTAGAACAAAAAAGCTACAAAAGATAAGTGTGTTCGTATATTGCTATATAGATAATTGTGTTAATTAAATAAATAAGATCTATGTTTCTGAAAACTGTAATGAGTGTACTAATTGATAAAAAAAAATCCAAAAAGTCTTCGACTCAACTGTAAGTATACAAGACAATCATTTTTAAACAGCCATAATGTTCAAATATTTAAGCGATTTATTGTATGCATTATACATAAGAATATTGACAATGAAAAATAAATAGAGGGTTTATTCAACATCAATCATTTTGCTACTGAAAGTGCGCTGAAGAATATTGAAAAATGAAGTTTTCTTGTAAAGTAAAATGAAGAGGATAATGTAGGAAAGATAAAGGTTTATATACATAGATGTATATCTTTATAATACATTTATGTATAAAGAACAGAGGAGAAAAATTTTCTGAAAAATTTCTTGTAATTAAATTTTAATATTTTTCAAAGTATTTTTGATTTATTTTAATTAGTTATTTTTAAAGGTAGTAGCTGTTGAATTTTAATCAAATTACGAATCGAATAAAAAGAAAGAATAAATATTTTATTTAGAAAATTTCGCAATATACCAAATGTATCATATAATAATATTAACACTAGAAATATTTATTATTATTAATTTTGATTTTAATTTGTACAAAAGTTAGATGATATACCCTGTCTTTGATCTATAATATTTTTTTTTATCATAATTTTTTTTGTCTTTTCTTTTCTTCTTCTTCTTTTTTTCCTCTTTTATTTTAACGAAGACAGGTATATACGTAATAACGATAATCAATTATAGTTCCTTAATCCATTAAAAAATTAGTTCGAGGAGATATTGAATATTTAAATAAGTTGTGTTGCATCACTTCGATGGACTCTAACTTGGTTTTCTACGTCAATTATTTGAGAAGTACTTTCCATCGATACGTAATATAATCATGGAAGATCACCGTTGCATAATGGAACACGATTTATGTATATATGTATGTGCAACGTATATATGCATATAGTATATATAGATGTATTCATTCAACTTGCTATACACGATTTATGGGCGCCATATGATGCTGATTTAACTTTTACGTCTAATTGTAAAACACAATATGTGCGTTAGAAATTGCTGGACATTCGAAATCCAATATTGCTCGACAACACTTCAAATAAAATGTGAACGTTTAAAAAAAAAAAAAATAATAATAATAAATTTTTTTTTTTATTGGATGTCAGAGGTTGGGCCAACCCCAGAGTGACCCATCTGAGCCTGCAGAGGCAACCACCCGGGCACTTTTCACTTAAGTATGCTTCCAGGTGGTCCCTTTATTTCTTCGCCCTTTTTCAGGCGCCGACCTTGCATTTAGCGTCTCCCTACATCTCCCCGTTGGGAAGTTCAGGAAGTTCGTTACTCGCGCTTTGTTTAGGGTTAGCGTAAGGTAGCGTAGGTTAGCGTCTATCTTGACATTCTCTATATGCCTATGTAGGCATCGCACCCTACGTCCCCCACTTCGGAGGTTCAGGTGTGAAAGGCCCACGCATTTTTTCTTGGCCGAGGTTGGGTCGCCCTTCCTTTTCTCTCTTCTTCTTTTTTTTAAGCACTGCCTCCACAAAGGTGGCAACATTCGTCCACTTTTCCTCGCTCTCCAACATGTGCATCACAGTGTTGTCAGGCGTAATGGATCCTATCTGCTCTTCCAGCCTTCTTCTTTCTTCTGTCCATATCGTGCATTCGAAAAATGAGTGCAGGGCATCGTCGTTTTCCGCACCACAAAGGCATTTTGGCTCCGTGCGTTTCCTCATCTTGTGGAGGTAAGCGCCGAACAGACCGTGGCCCGTCAGAAACTGGGTCAGGTAGTAGTTGACGTCACCGAGTTTTCTATTTACCCAGGAAGAGATCCGAGGTATCAGTCTCTTCGTCCATTTTACAGTATCTCCGCTCGACCATCTGGCCTGCCAGGCTGCCAGTGTGTTTTCCCTTGCTTGTGCTCGGGCCTCCGCCTCACCGAATGCTGTTCTGTTGAGGTATATAGATCTTCTCTCCTTGACCTGTAGATGAAAGGGTATGGTCCCTGCCACCACGAGGACTACGGTCTTTGGTACCGTTCGGTATGCACTCGCTACCTTGAGCGCGCCTCTTCTTTGTAC